CTTGTAACTTGGTTATGTCCTTGGTCAATTTTGGAGAACTGGGCTTGGAATCCTACATGGCAGCTCGATTTATAGCTGACGAGTAATATTCGGGGGGTTTTTTAGTGATGTTGTAAATGACTCCTCACGAATTGATTTCAGTCCTTTAAACTCGTAAACTCTCTCGTCCCACAANTTGAAGAAATATGACCCAGACGAGAATCCCAAAGATTAAAAGGAGAGTTGGTCGAAGCAGAAGCAGAAGCAGCAATAGTAGAGAGGACTGAGGAAAATAGTCATTATGAAAGACGAAGATGGATAAGCTCAAACAAACATTCATACTTACGGCTTATCTCAACGTTTTGTCCTGCCTATGGATCTTGGACAATACAATCAATAGAAGGAAACAAAACAATGAGTCCGATGTTACAAAGTTGACCCACAAATATTTGAATTATTTCATATTGTCCTAATCACATACGTTCGATATATTTTTTAATCAAAATTATCAATATATTAGATCAAAGTGAATAATATTACATAGTTTGAGACAATGTGAAATCAATCACATATTTGAAAGATGCAATGGTAGTTGAGGGGACAATTTCAACAATATTACTGTGACTCACTCGTAATGGGAAGCATAAAAAAACATATTATACGGTTGGAGAAACTCGAACCCACTCTATACCTAGAAGTGGGCCTCCATAACCGTTAGGCAAACCCATTATGCTAGCAATGGCTCACCATAGTGTACATGCAATACATATTTTGCGACCGCACTTTTTGTAATTCAACTCATTTTGAGAACAATAGGACCAAATAATGCCCAACTTTCTCTACTATGCAACCCTACAATCTGAGTACACTAAAAACCCAAAAAAATAATAATAAAGCTTAGGATCATCTCTTGCATACTAGAATGTTAAACCTTAGCTGAATTTAGTGCTTGTAACTTGGTTATGTCCTTGGTCAATTTTGGAGAACTGGGCTTGGAATCCTACATGGCAGCTCGATTTATAGCTGACGAGTAATATTCGGGGGNTTTGTTATTAGTTAAACCCATTTACAATCAATAGCTATTTTGCTAGGAGGAAGATAAACCAAATCTCAAATATGTGTGTCAGCAAGTGTCTGTAACTCTTCTGTCATTTCTTGCTGTCAATGAGGATTAGAGCTAGTCTTACGATAAGAGTGAGTCTCATGTTGAGAGAGAATAGTTGAGACACAACGATAGTCATGCAAATGAACATAAATGTTCCTTACCCGAGTGGAATGACACTGTTGATGAGCAGAAAAATGAGTATCACTAAGAAGTGTTGTAGAAGGTTCAGGAGCTAAGGAATGATCACTATCAGTATGAAGTGGGTCAGGAGTAGGATCAGGATTAGCATGCAGGACAGAAGCCTCTAGATGGTCTGTAGATGGGAGCTTAGATAAGTTTGGATGTAGGTCACCAGGATATATATACATAGATGGATCAGTAAACAGAGAAGAACTAGGGGTAGACGAAAACTGAAACTAAGACAAGGAGGAGACCATCTTGTATTCCCAGAAGACGACATGTCGAGAAACACGAAGATGCTTGGAATAGGGATCCCAATAACGATAACCCTTATGTTCAATCCCATAACACCAGAAAACAATAAAGATGTGCCCGAGGTTCCAACTTGGTACACTCATGAGGTTGGAGTAAGACAAAACATGTATAACCAAAGATTCAAATAGAGTGGTAATAAGGGGAAGTGTCATACAATTGCTCATATGGAGATTGATTCCCAATAATAAGAGAGTGAATAAGAATGATGATATAGATGGCAGTAAGAGCAGCTTCAACCCAAAAACATTCAAGATACAAAGAAATGAGAAGAGCATGAACAATATCAAGAATATGATGAAGTTTGCACTCAAAACGTCTATTTTGTTAAGATTTATCAAGACAAGAACGATAAGAAATGGTACCATGTTGACTGAGAAAGTTAAGAAAGATGATGTCTTTATATTCCATGGCATTATTAGATCTAAAGACTTCAATGGATCCGAGAATTGAGTTTGAACAATTTTACCAAAATTATAATAAATTTGTGGCAATTGATATCGAGTTTGCAAAAGATAAATCTAAGTAAAGTGAGAATAATAATCAATAAAAATGTACTTTGACCCTCCCATAGTATTGGAGAAGGTCCTCAAATATCATAATAAACCAAATCAAAAAGGGCAAAAGAGAAAGAGTTATTGTTATTGAAAGATAAAGCTAGCTATTTTGCAAGTTTATAAGACAAACAATCAAGTTGTTCACTATGAACATGCCCTATTTGACTATTACAAATTAAATATTATAGACGACTTGAAGAAATATGACTCAGATGAGAATCCCAAAGATTAAAAGGAGAGTTGGTCGAAGCAGAAGCAGAAGTAGCAATAGTAGAGAGGACTGAGAAAAATAGTCATTATGAAAGACGAAGATGGATAAGCTCAAACAAACATTCATACTTACGGCTTATCTCAACGGTTTGTCCTGCCTATGGATCTTGGACAATACAATCAATAGAAGGAAACAAAACAATGAGCCTGATGTTACAAAGTTGACCCACAAATATTTGAATTATTTCATATTGTCCTAATCACATNAACGTCTATTTTGTTAAGATTTGTCAAGACAAGAACGATAAGAAATGGTACCATGTTGACTGAGAAAGTTAAGAAAGATGGTGTCTTTATATTCCATGGCATTATTAGATCTAAAGACTTTAATGGATCCGAGAATTGAGTTTGAACAATTTTACCAAAATTATAATATATTTGTGGCAATTGATATCGAGTTTGCAAAAGATAAATCTAAGTAAAGTGAGAATAANCTTATAGCTGACGAGTAATATTCGGGGGTTTTTTTAGTGATGTTGTAATGACTCCTCACGAATTGATTTCAGTCCTTTAAACTCGTAAACTCTCTCGTCCCACAATTGAATTTCCTTAAAATTGAGTTTTTTTTTCAATGGTCAAGGGCATGGGTCAACATTCGCGCACCTGAACTAATTCATTTTCGATCTGGTTGAAAGCAAACCATCCATTATAGAATTATGATATTTATGAAAGATAAATTTTCGATGGTCTAACCACAAAAGATTTTTAAAATTCAAANTTTATAGCTGACGAGTAATATTCGGGGGGTTTTTTAGTGATGTTGTAAATGACTCCTCACGAATTGATTTCAGTCCTTTAAACTCGTAAACTCTCTCGTCCCACAATTGAATTTCCTTAAAATTGAGTTTTTTTTTTCAATGGTCAAGGGCATGGGTCAACATTCGTGCACCTGAACTAATTCCTTTTCGATCTGGTTAAAGGCAAACCATCCATTATAGAATTATGATATTTATGAAAGATAAATTTTCGATGGTCTAACCACAAAAGATTTTTAAAATTCAAATTAAAAATATCTGAATTTAAAATTTATTTTTTTTTACCATTTGAGTCTCCTATGTAGTTCTTGGAATAATTAATTTCCCCCCATCAAAGACTATAGATTATAGACTATTACCAACATGCAAATGCTTGCTGGGATACGGGCCTAGTTGGGCTCAAACCTTAGCAGAAACCAGCACAAACTGCCTATTCCAATATGTTGGGTGGAGTCCACCTGCACCCGGGCTTAGACTTCATTGGGTTTAATTTGAGCCCAAGTCAGTCTTGGTTTTTTTCCTTTCTATTCTTTTTCTTTTCTTTTCTTTTCTTTTCTTTTTGTTTTTNCAATTCATTTTTTTTTACCATTTGAGTCTCCTATGTAGTTCTTGGAATAATTAATTTCCCCCCATCATAGACTATAGATTATAGACAATTACCAACATGCAAATGCTTGCTGGGATACGGGCCTAGTTGGGCTCAAACCTTAGCAGAAACCAGCACAAACTGCCTATTCCAATATGTTGGGTGGAGTCCACCTGCACCCGGGCTTAGACTTCATTGGGTTTAATTTGAGCCCAAGTCAGTCTTGGTCTTTTTCCTTTCTATTCTTTTTCTTTTCTTTTCTTTTCTTTTCTTTTTGTTTTTGACTCTTTTGATCAAAAGCCAAGGCCAATGTTTTCATCACTACAAGAATTTGGATCTTTTAACATAAATTTTGTTGCGACAGTAGTATGTACCGTCACAAAAAACGTGTTTTGGAAAGAAAAAAAAATTTGTTTGTGATGGTAGCATTGTCAAAAAAGATTTATTTACTGCCTCAAATACCATATGTGACGGTCGTTACCGTTACAAAAATTTTTTAAAACTCCACTTATTATGTCGAGGCATGTCGCCACAACATCTTACCGTAATAAGTAGAGTCTAAAAAAATATTTGTGGCAACAATAGCCTATCTTAAACAGTATTTACCGCGGTAAATAAACTTTTTATGACAGCACTGCCACCATAAAAAAAAAAATCTTCAAAACACATGACAAGCACTACTGTCGTAAAAAATTATCTCAAAAATCCCTAATTTTTAGAGTGAATTTAATGACATTTTTTCTAATNTTTGCGACAGTAGTATGTACCGTCACTAAAAACGTGTTTTGGAAAGAAAAAAATTTTTTTTTGTGATGGTAGCATTGTCAAAAAAGATTTATTTACTGCCGCAAATACTATATGTGACGGTCGTTGCCGTTACAAAATTTTTTTAAAACTCCACTTATTATGTCGAGGCATGTCGCCACAACATCTTACCGTAATAAGTAGAGTCTAAAAAAATATTTGTGGCAACAATAGCCTATCTTAAACAGTATTTACCGCGGTAAATAAACTTTTTATGACAGCACTGCCACCATAAAAAAAAAATNTCTGCATGTAAGAGTTATAGTCATCGATTAACAAATTTTGTGATCTCTCCTACATTAGATAATTTTATTTCTCTTTTGTTATTATGCTTTGTGTACTGTTAAGCATGTCTTGAACTATATTGTCCGTTTACCAATAAAAAACATAGGTTGAATCGTATTTATAAAATAAAAAAATAAAAAATCAATGATATGGATGAAAGGAATATACACAATAAGCCACAGAAAGAAAATTGAGATCCCATCCTAGCTTCCATGATGATATGTTCCCGTCGACCACCATGGCCCAAACAGCTGATTGAATGCAGCTAAAGAAACACTGTAGAGTTGTAAGACGCAGCTTCACTGGATACTGCTTGACAATAGGAACCTACAACAAACTTCTAGTCAGAGGGGAAGAAACAAAAACATAGTAAATCATGAAGTGAAATAAGCTACCTGATAGGGCATTTGATTTGAAAAAAAAAAGTCCCCAAAGTATGTTTTTTGTGTTAGTTTGGTCTCGAATTTTTTAATCGTGTGAATTTTACTTTCTGGAGTTTCTAATTTATGTCACTTTAGTTTAATCAAAAACTGGAATGTAAATTGTCTAATGGGAATGTTGACGAGCATTTCACCCGACCACAATTGATGGGCATTCTTTAAAACATTTAGGAACTACAATAACAAAAATTGAAAATTTGAAGAATCAAAGTGATACAAATTACAAACTTGAGTAATTGAGGTGACCTTCCAAGATTGAGGTGACCTTCCAAGTGTGGTCATATGAAACGCCCGTGCACACCAATGTTAGCCTGACTTATACCACAATTGTAATTGAACCAAAGGAACATAAATTCCAAACCTATGGACTAAAATAAGATAATTAAAAGAATGTAAACCAAAGAGAAACAAAGCACATACTTCAAGGACTACTACTATATTCTACCCTTTGTGTGTGTGTGTGTGTGAGAGAGAGAGAGAGAGAGAGAGAGAGAGAGAGCTGCATTATGAGCCACAAAGACCATGCAGTGTTGGCAGAAAGCATGACAAGAGAACCCTTTATCCTGTCCCTGTTGGAAGTAGCCTTCATAGATGGGCCTGGAATTTCCTTTTTGTTTTCCACATACCAGTTCATGAACTGTAGAGGAGGTCCCTTAACAAATGCAAACACCAAAGCCCCAGAAACACCAAGTACTGAACCCAATACCTTGACCACTCCATGCCACTGCTTTATTGAAATTCTTTCCATTCTGAAATGTTCAAAACTTAAAATATTTACTGTCTTTTTCAAAACAACAAAGTTTACTATATCTATCAATCAATGGTAAAACGTGTCATCTTTACTTGGCTTTCGACGTACCGTAAGAAAAAAGCCATCACGAATGTAACGACAAGGACTGTGTTGGTGGTGGCAGCAGCAAATGTTGCCGTGGTATAGTTCATTGCATAATAGTAGAGATTTAAAGTCAGGGTAACCCTGAAATTTTGCACATAGGATGGATNCTTCCAAGTGTGGTCATATGAAACGCCCGTGCACACCAATGTTAGCCTAACTTATACCACAATTGTAATTGAACCAAAGGAACATAAATTCCAAACCTATGGACTAAAATAAGATAATTAAAAGAATGTAAACCAAAGAGAAACAAAGCACATACTTCAAGGACTACTACTATATTCTACCCTTTGTGTGTGTGTGTGTGTGAGAGAGAGAGAGAGAGAGAGACCTGCATCACAAAGACCATGCAGTGTTGGCAGAAAGCATGACAAGAGAACCCTTTATCCTGCCCCTGTTGGAAGTAGCCTTCATAGATGGGCCTGGAATTTCCTTTTTGTTTTCCACATACCAGTTCATGAACTGTAGAGGAGGTCCCTTAACAAATGCAAACACCAAAGCCCCAGAAACACCAAGTACTGAACCCAATACCTTGACCACTCCATGCCACTGCTTTATTGAAATTCTTTCCATTCTGAAATGTTCAAAACTTAAAATATTTACTGTCTTTTTCAAAACAACAAAGTTTACTATATCTATCAATCAATGGTAAAACGTGTCATCTTTACTTGGCTTTCGACGTACCGTAAGAAAAAAGCCATCACGAATGTAACGACAAGGACTGTGTTGGTGGTGGCAGCAGCAAATGTTGCCGTGGTATAGTTCATTGCATAATAGTAGAGATTNTATTCTTTTGGATAATTTTTTAAAATAATCATGAAAAAATACTTCAAGATAAAGTCTAAGTCAGAATTATCACCTATTCTAGGCAGAAGTGGTGATTCTTAAAAGAAAAGTCATGTATATANTTTCCAAGTGTGGTCATATGAAACGCCCGTGCACACCAATGTTAGCCTGACTTATACCACAATTGTAATTGAACCAAAGGAACATAAATTCCAAACCTGTGGACTAAAATAAGATAATTAAAAGAATGTAAACCAAAGAGAAACAAAGCACATACTTCAAGGACTACTACTATATTCTACCCTTTGTGTGTGTGTGTGNCGTGATATATCCATTAGTTTATTTACTTGTGACATTGACATTGATCTTACCAATTACAACTGTCATAGTAGAGAGAACATTTTCGACTATGAAGATTGTGAAGAATCAATTGTGTAAGAGAATGAGCAATTAATAAATGACAGATAACTTGATCGTATGCAAGAGAAGAATATTTTTAATTGCATTGATAATGATGTTATCATGCNTGCAGTGTTGGCAGAAAGCATGACAAGAGAACCCTTTATCCTGTCCCTGTTGGAAGTAGCCTTCATAGATGGGCCTGGAATTTCCTTTTTGTTTTCCACATACCAGTTCATGAACTGTAGAGGAGGTCCCTTAACAAATGCAAACACCAAAGCCCCAGAAACACCAAGTACTGAACCCAATACCTTGACCACTCCATGCCACTGCTTTATTGAAATTCTTTCCATTCTGAAATGTTCAAAACTTAAAATATTTACTGTCTTTTTCAAAACAACAAAGTTTACTATATCTATCAATCAATGGTAAAACGTGTCATCTTTACTTGGCTTTCGACGTACCGTAAGAAAAAAGCCATCACGAATGTAACGACAAGGACTGTGTTGGTGGTGGCAGCAGCAAATGTTGCCGTGGTATAGTTCATTGCATAATAGTAGAGATTTAAAGTCAGGGTAACCCTGAAATTTTGCACATAGGATGGATCGTCAAACGAAATTCTACACTAAGTTCAAGAGTTTAGTATCATTGTGTAAAGCTTTTTTAAGTATCTTTCTTAGGCGGAAAGCAAAATTGACTATTATTTTGCAAGTGTGTGGTGTACATAATATATACTATACATGAGGTTGGGAAGAGAGTAAACCAGACAAAGAAAAAGCGAAAATGCAAACAAACGCTGCTTAAAAAATTTAGTCATGGGATCATCAATGAATATTAGCACACACCCAAATAAAGAAACCAAGAAAATCTTGCAGAGTAAGCTGGGTGATATTGGAGCGGCCTTCTTACTGCACAATTAGAGAAACTTGATCACCATGGAGATTGACAAATGGAAAAAAAAGAAAAAAAGAAAGTATGCAGGTAGCGTAGATGGAAGAACAAAGTAAATCTCAGAGGACCACCCTCTTCGAAGCAAACCTTTCGATGAAGAAAGCAAATGGAGCTAGGGTAAGTGTCCCGAAAGCTTGGCGGTACGCAACAAACACATAAGGGTTCATTCCTTTAGCCATGGCTGTCTTGGAGAACAAGGCCATGCCGGCATAGATGAACTGTACAAACAGCATTGCAATAGCAGGCTTATACTTGTCTATTGCCATTATGCAACTAAGTGAACGCTTCATGTTGCGCTAATCGATCCTTGGCCTTCCTAAGAGAAATCTAGCAATTCATAGGGAATTGTTGGCAAAATGGCCAAAAGCCATATATTTTTTGTGCTAGAAAGTCCAAGTTCTGAACTGAATGGATAAAGTCTAAGGAGATGTGCACAAAGAATAATATTTTGTACACCACCTTTGTGCACTGCTTCACTTACACCACTTTACGTTGCACAATCACAATTATTAAATATTTGATAAATTTTATGAGATCTCTGCTGGGGGATCAAGGAAGGCATAGCTAGCGGTTTGTACTGCACCGGAGTGATCCAATATGTGGTTCCGCACGTTCCATCAGTGATCCAATATGTGGTTCCACACGTTCCATCACTTATCCGTTCATTTTTAATACTAATCCTGAAACACCGTGAGCAGCAGTATTAGTATATGTTATGGTGGTACAAAAAAGATAGTGTGTTTAGAATTACTGGTGCACAAAAGTTCTGTGAGGTGTGCAACTTTGTCGGGCAGCTACTCCATACACAGATTGAATCAGATCTAAGTATTAATTGTGCAAATCTAATTTTGAATGCGAGGGTCTGATTGGTTGGACCCCACTTCATCAATTTCCACACCTGTACATTCCAAGATTTAGCCAATTGGTACAACCATGGGGACAACTTTCTTCATCAGAAGAATCAGAGAGAGAATAGTCTAAATTAACAATCAAACTATATATCAAGGATTTGCTTAATAGTTCTTTTATCGTTTCCTATCTTGGGATAATGTCAATTAACGATTGATGAACAACACACTAGCTATAGGATTTTTCTGTAGTGTAAGCACCTGTCAACAAACAGTCCCACGGGCGGAGGGAGGTATGGTCCAGGGTGGGCAAATGTCCCCTGAAAAAAAAATTTATTATTTAGTTATGGATATTATCTATTTGTATAATATATTATTTGTGCTCATCCAAAACTAAAGATAAAAATGTTATACCCACCACTCTCTGCCTGAAAAAATTAAAAAACTAAGTTCGTTTAAAACAAAAAAAAAAATTTAGACCCACAACTACTCACCCAAACAAATTAAAAAACCAAATCTTTGACCCACCACTAGCTACACCAGGCACCAGCACACCACCCATTTGATATCTTTCCCCTCCCTCTCTCTTTCACGCCCAACCAGAAGACAAAAGACACTCAAGACGGCCATCTTCTTTGTCTTCTTTGTCGTTGCTTGCACCCACCACCGACAAGAGGTCCATTGCCGCAAGTAAATACTCTCTCTCTCTTGATCGACACACGCACACACAACACACACAAAATAAATTAGTTTTTTGTTTTTAAAATTCTGAATTAATTAGGCTTTGCAATTTTCTGGTTTTTTGTGCATTTTAATTTGTAACCCTAATTTAATTTTTTGTGCATTTTGTCTTATTTGAATTTTTATGCATTTTGTCCTGATTATTTTCTTGATTTGTTATAGCCCATATTAATATTTGGACACGCCTTGAAAACCTTAAATTGCGATTATTGAGTCAACAATAAAAAGTATTTTTCGGTAACTCTCAATCCGAACATATTTTTAATACTTTGAATGATATTGCTTGAATTTATTAAAATTATGAACTAGATACTTTTATGCATTTGTACTTGTATTTGCTTCCTAATACTTAGAATGCTAGCAATAAAATTAAAAAAATAGTTTGCTTAATTAATTGCAAGAGTGGATATATAAAACTATTCTTTTGGATAATTTTTTAAAATAATCATGAAAAAATACTTCAAGATAAAGTCTAAGTCAGAATTATCACCTATTCTAGGCAGAAGTGGTGATTCTTAAAAGAAAAGTCATGTATATATTAATTTGGTGAATTTTCCATCAGATCTTAAACTACGACTGTGGATTATGGTTGAGACAAAAAAGAACGTGATATATCCATTAGTTTATTTACTTGTGACATTGACATTGATCTTACCAATTACAACTGTCATAGTAGAGAGAACATTTTCGACTATGAAGATTGTGAAGAATCAATTGTGTAAGAGAATGAGCAATTAATAAATGACAGATAACTTGATCGTATGCAAGAGAAGAATATTTTTAATTGCATTGATAATGATGTTATCATGCAACGATTTTAAAATATAAAATCATGTTGAGTTCAATTGTAAAATATTATAGTTAGTCTCATTTTTTTGTAAAAAAATTTTATTAAAACCTTGTTTTGTGGATTTTTTTTTTATATCCCATATATATTGATTTTTGGCCTTTTTGTCAATGAAATTTTAGGTATTATATATGATTTAAAAAATTTATGTATCTTTAATTTTAATCTTTAAGTGTCCCGTTATATAAATTTTTGACTCCGCCCTCGATTCCAATACGAATGTCCTTGCTAGTAAATAAACACGTGTTTTTAATGCTGCTCTTAATGAACCCCTACCCGCTTTAGAAGCATGGGCGGAGGCACTTGAGGACAGTGGGCCATGGTCCCCACCCTGAATTTTTTTTTTATGTATATTTCAAATAATTATAAATATATTTAAGTTCGTACACTCTCATCATTTTTTATTCTATTAATTAATATTGTTTCATACCTAAATAACTAAAAAAAAATTGATGTACTTTGGATACTTTATGCATATATTTAGACAAGTGTTGATATGTCAGACTCGATTTTTTAAGCTATAGAGATGATAAAAATTAGGTTACATAATTGAATGAGTGATCAATGACTAATAATTTGATTAGTTATATAGAGAAATACTGTAATATCTTTTATGCAATTAGCCTATTTGTTGTTTTTTTTTAATATTTATATATGTTATATTTATTGACTGTTGACTCTTTTTATATTTTATGAATCTTTAAGTATCAAATATAATATAGTTAATTTAAAATTTTATTTTCTTTGATTGAGAAAAAAATGTTAAAGTTTACAAGTAAAGTGCCCGCTCTTAATGAAATTTCTGACTCCGCCCCTAAATAGAAACCTAAAATATGATACGTGAATGACCATTTAACGACACGAAACTAATCCACTCAAAAAGTAGGTTGTGGGGATGATCATTTCTTGCCGGTAGCTATGCTGATATCTTTTCATTAGCATCATTTTCAGTCTCTAACAAAACTCTGGTTTTTGGACCAAATTAATGAAGTTTAGTACACCAAATGCACCAAAAACTATTGATATTTGATGATTTATGCCATTGTGCTTGTAGTAAAGGTGTGAATTAGTGGAGAAATATTGTTCATGTTGAAGATTGAACAGCAAAGCTATTATTTTGGCACTAAAAATGCACCACTAGGTAATGCATAGCTGTGTGGAAACAAGTCTAGAGGTATCAGGATCAAGTGATGTTATGGTTTCTTGGTCGCTTTGACTCCATCATCTCCTTTTTCGTAAACTCAATAATTGCATTGATATTTATAAATTTTGATCTTCTTGTGTTCAAATTTTAACAATATTTTGAGGTTAAACAATGAGTAATTTATCTCTCATAAACACTCTAGTCCTGACGTGGATGTTTTGTCTTTGACCAGACCGAAGAGAGGATTAATCGAACTATACATAAACTGACTTAAACATCCCTGACCCATAAACCAAAAACAAAAGTTTATAAAACTTGATGCCACTTCGAAAAAAGAGAGTATAAANGAATTTTAATAATTTTTTGAGGTTAAACAATGAGTAATTTATCTCTCATAAACACTCTAGTCCTGACGTGAATGTTTTGCCTTTGACCAGACCGAAGAGAGGATTAATCGAAATATACATAAACTGACTTAAACATCCTGACCCAGAAACCAAAAACAAAAGTTTATAAAACTTGATGCCACTTCGAAAAAAGAGAGTATAAAGCTTGATGCACATGGCTCAACCATATAATACCGACAAAATAATCATTTTAGATTCCACTGCCAAAAAAAAAAAACGCCATATTTTATTTGTGTGTTTATGGTGAAGGCTAAAAACCTAAGTTTCGTACAAAATTTAAGTCAAACAAAAAAGCCTCATACTAGGAAATTTTTATGAATTGAATTGAAATTTTTGATCCCTTAAAAATCACACAATACGTCCTTTTAAAATCACAAAAAAAAAAAAAAAAAATANAAACGCCATATTTTATTTGTGTGTTTATGGTGAAGGCTAAAAACCTAAGTTCCGTACAAAATTTAAGTCAAACAAAAAAGCCTCATACTAGGAAATTTTTATGAATTGAATTGAAAATTTTGATCCCTTAAAAATCACACAATACGTCCTTTTAAAATCACAAAAAAAATAAAAAAAATAAAATTGATCCAAAAGAAGTTTTCCAAATAGTATAGAAAAACATTTCAATTGATAAAAGTTGTCTATGTTGCTTCTGCATAAAGAAGTTTTTTGTAATTCAAATTGATAAAATATTTTAAAAAACCAACATGCCAAGATAAAACTATTTAGTCAAATAATATGTTTATAGAATTGTAATATGAAATTTGAATTAATAATTTTAAATCTCTAAATCATAAAGATATAAACTTCTAAATGAATAATTTTTTTAATACTATAAGTCCAATTTAGAAAGTTTTATTCTAATATGCCTCTTTCATCACCATAATAATACAACCACCAAACTGCAACCCTTAGAGAAACCCCACTGACATCTCAAAAGTCACTTGGAGCTTCCAACGGTCATATTTGGTAATTGTTACTTCTTCGATAGAAATGTCAAATATTTAAGGTAGTAAAATATAATTTGACACATCCTCTTTGTTATGTCAAATCCTTTAAATGCATTATTTTATTGAGTAAAAAAAAATTTAATGCACAAGCTTTCAAACAAAATATGAATGTAATAGCTTCCAAAAAAATAATTATTGCAAGAGTCCCCAAACAAAGACATTGAACGAGCATTTGGAGTACTCCAAACACGTTTTGCAAGTGTTTGTGGGCCTACTCATTTTTGGGATCATCAAACACATCAGCTGATTATGAAAACTTGCATTATATATAATACACAACATGATTGTTAAAAAAAAAAAAAAAGGATGAACACGACAAAAAACTTTCACTTAATTACGATTCAAACAAGAGTAGAAGTAAAGAACATGCCGTGTTGAGTGAATACACCTTAGAATTCTAGAATTTTATTTGAAATCACTTACACATTCGTGATAAGGGAACACGTTCTCAACTCCAAGTTGATTTAGTTGAGCACTTGTGACATTGTCATGGGGGTAGTAGTAGCATATAATTTGGTTTGAGTCTATGTTT